AATTACAACCCACCTTGATATTCTGAACTGAAACTGAGAGTCATCGCTTATGTGGAAACTTGAGTGCTCGACTCCTCAGAATCTACATAAATATAAGCGATACTCGAATAAACAACTAACTCTTAACTCGGTAAACCAATTTACCAATTTGAAGGATTTCCTAGCTTAAGGTTCACGACTTATAAAATATTTTCTTCTATTTCTTAGACGTTGGAACTCTCGACTCGAACTTATAAAAATTCTCGAAATAATATATATATATATATACATATATTTTTATTTTTTTTATTTATTTTTTTTTAAAAAACTTCAACAACAAATCATAAGCCATACCAGCTGAGCCTAACCTTGCATAAATGACATATAATCAACATGGATTACTCATCATAACCTGAACAATGAACCAAGTATACTCACAGCACAAAACTATCACAAAAAGGCCCCCTTTTTCTTCAATATTTCTCAACATTTAAGCAATACATGTAAGGTCTTAAAAATTCTAAAATTAAAGCCTTTGAATGCAAAGAATAGTAACAGCCATATCCTCAACCAACATGATTTACACCTTCAGGTAATGCATGGTCACCAACACAACATACATACGTGCTCAAGCCTTTTCACTATTTCAAATTTTAAACACTACGCACCTACTCCTGTGATGGAAAATATAGGTTAAAAGAAATAGTCTTTCATTAATAGCAGACTACTAAGAATATAGATTCAACAAGAAACTTTTCATAAGGCCACAACATATCCCTTAGTAAAAACCAAACTTCTTTCTTTCTCTTTTATTCTACATTTAACCATACTCGAAGACACATAATAACTGATTTTAAAGGCTATATTATAAGCATATATATGGCTGCTAGTACTCAGAAAAATGCAGCAACAAAGTCCTCAAAATTTCGAAAATAGACGAGGCCTGGAACTTCGACAATTTATCCTCACTTTCAAACAACTCTTATGTATTGATCCCAGCTATATAATAACATAAATTCACATAGTTTCAGAGGTATAAATGCTCAGAAAATTAGTAAAATCGCTGCATATCAACATCATTTCGACTCATTTACTCGAAACCGACAAGGCTCCGAACAAGGCAACAATTAGTCCCGGTTATCAAAATAACTTCAAATCATTTATCCCGACCTTTATAAACTTAAAAAATATTAATTTTTAAAGGCTAATCAATCAACGAAACGAGAGTTCAACATCACCAACAAATACTCGAATGTCATAGCTTCTTCTCGATTTAATAAATCTCATGAACGTGAACCTTAAAGCCTCTTTAATCCTTCAAATAAACTCAAATTATACGAAGAAGGATAAGTCATACACCTTCTTCAGGAATTGAATGAGAAACAGATAAAGAAGGGTTCAAATCAAAGGCCTCGGACAAGCTGCTATCACTCACGCACATCTCGGGACTAGACTCGGCTTTCCTTGTGCGAATGGGGCTGCTGCTACTTCTCGACGAGGGAGACCAAGATACAACTACCGTCCGACAACGAGGACGCTACCGCTGTTGTTCGGGACGCTACTCGAAGGCCGACGGAGAGTGTTGCGGCTGTTCGGGCCTGAAAGAGGGCCGACGGTGTGTCGCTGCTTGCCAGAACGTGCTGTGGTGAACGAGCGAAAGCACTCGAATGGCTGACGGTCTCCGACTGCTATCCTTGACGAGGTGCTGCCGATTGGGTGCTACTGCTCGTGCCTCCGGCTATACCCACAACTACAAACTCGACAGGAAAAAGGGCCACCGCTGCTGGTAACGGGCGCGGGGCTCTGGTGGTTCACCGCCGCTGAAAAACTCGGCTCTTGGCTTTGTGCTCCCTTCTCCAGTAGAACGTACGACAGCAGGCGGGGGATCTCCAGCACAGTACGACTCACGGCGAGGATCTCTCGTTCGCCGACGGTCACTCGTGTGAGCAGATAGGGGAATTTTGCCGGCGATGAAAGAAGCTCGTGGCAGGTATGTTCACAGAGGCTGTGGGGTAGAAATTCCCGAAAACGGCTGGCTGGGCTCGGCGAACAGGAGCTTCTCGTGGCGATGCTTGGCCGCAGATTACGGCGGTGCTATGGCTGGGGTACCTCGCGACATCAACGGTTGCTATTAATTCCGGTGAGAACAGAGGGGTTCGCCTCGCGGCAGCCGGAGGCTGGGAGAGGGTGATTTCGAAAATGAATTTCGAAATTTGAGAGGGGCTTCCTGATGCGACTGATCGAGAATAATTTGGGGGTGAAACTCTCATGTTGCTGCGAGTTTGAGAGAGAGAGATCTGAGATTCTGAAATTCCACTATTGCCAAAACGAGGGAGATGAAATATTGGGAGAAAAATCTCGTCGATATCGCAACAAAATTTTCAAGCAGTTAAAGGGGATGGACCTGGTCGCACGCGAAGGAAGAAGAAAAAAATGAAAGTTGCTTGATTTAATCGCATGGGCCAAGGTTAAATATCTCCAATTGGGCCTAGATAAAATAAATACAAGGGCTAAGAAATTTGGGCCAAAAAATAACACAAGACATTGGGTCATCGTCGAAAACAATTAATTTGGGCCAATTGAGAATGAAATAGAAAGGCCTAACACAAGAATAATCAATTGGGCCAAAATTACAAATCATTTTGGCTAGAAGTTAATTCGCTTTGGACCGAAAATAGATACATCGCGAATACGAAAATTCTTGATCGATTCGATTGACGACGAAAAACAAATAAAATTACACGACTTAATTATATACGACTATAATATATATATATATATATATCACACAATATTTATTAATAATAATAAGCAATTTATAACACTTAGACAAATAGTAATAATAATAATAATAATAATTATAATAATATAAATAGGCAAATAATAATAGCACTAATTAATCAATAATCAATAATTATTCTCAAATATTCCACAATAAAACGGGGTATTACACTGATAGTCGTGATAAAGTGCATCGTGTTGTTTTATAAAGTGCAGCGTGATATTTTATAAAGTGCAACATGATGATATATAAAGTGTACTACTGTAATTTTAGTACACTAGCATGATCGTGTTTTTTGTGGATAAATGATGCATGTTAACATTAGATTTATGTTGTGTAGAATTTTTGGCGAATCTATTGACGTTAATTGTGGAGTGCGGTGACAAAGTGTAGATTGTTGTTTTATACAGTGCAATGTTTTATTTTATAAAGTGCAACGTGTTGCTTTATGAAGTGCATTATGTTATACGACCCCAGGTTAATTATGTGTATTCGGAAACTAGTTTTAATATATGAAATTGCACATCAAATTAATTTAAATAATTAAAATATTTTATTATTTATTATTATAAAAGTATATATTTAGTATTGTAATATTTTTAGATATTTTTATATTGTTTTATGGCTTAAAATATATAACTTATATTTTAAAAATTATATTATTTTATGGATTTTAAATATATACACTTTATATTCATTTTGGTCGGTACGTACGCTAAAGTGAAATGTCAAATACAAAAAATTGCAACCTGACAGTTATTAATTTGCACGATTTTTTGCCGCTATGTGCAGTCATTAATTTTGCACCACAATTTGTATTAAAAATTATTGTGCTTTTATCAAATTCTTTATGTAATAAAACTATATTTAGTATTTATAATTTTTGTATTTAGTATTTTATATTATTATTTTAATTAACGTCATTGTGCATTTGTTATGCTAAGGTGCAACCTCACTAACACAAAAGTGCAACCCGTCAAGCAATAATGTGCAATATGCTATTAACATTTTATCGTATTTTTATTTAATATTTTTTATGATTTATGTATTTAAAAGATATATACAAATAGTCTACTTTTATATACTTTTATAAATTATGGACTTGTTAAATTTTCAATAAAATACATATTTGCCCATTGAACAATTGAAATATAATTAAGTTATATAAAATTGCACTCAAGTCCTTTATATTTATCAAATTTATAAAATTTTGCCCTAAGCATAAATCTAAGAATTCAGTAACACAATTTCTGAAACTGGGACCAACTTTCCATTTTCAGGTCGGCGTTGATAACGCCGCGCCGGTACAGGCGAAAAGATAATGATAATCCGAGGTCCAGAATTGCTACCGGTACACTAATAGAAGGAGGTTATTAGAGAGTCAGCGGCGGAGGTCGAGGTGGGGTCAGCGGAGGTTGAGGCGGCGACAGCGGATGTCAACGAACCAGAGCTGTCGGGCCGCGAAGTTGAGTATGGATGACGATGACGGCACGACGAAGCCTCGCTCGTCTCATTAGATGCGTGTTCGGCGGCGGGTTGCTGTGGAGTTGCGGCGGGGCTGTGGTTGGTTTCCGGGCGGCGGCGAGCGGCGACGGAGCACGACTTGGTTATGCGGTGGCACTCTGAGCAGTGGTCGAGAGGCAAGGGTCCGTTCGACTGTGTTGGCCTATGTGCGTTGTGTGTGTTCTGGTGTGTGTGTGTGTGTGAGAGAGAGAGAGAGAGAGAGAGAGAGAGAGAGAGAGAGAGAGAGAGAGAGAGAGAGAAATGTGTGTGTATGCGCATGGTTAGTCTGTGCTTGTTTGAGAGGGTGAGATAATTAATTAAGTGGTGTAATAAGTTTGGCTGTCATACGAGTAGTTGGCATTGTTTATGTGTAGTGGGATCCACTTCTTTTAAATGTGGTGTGAAAAATACCACAATGCCAAGGTATAATATTAACTTTTTTAAACTCTTGGATTATTCAATCCTATGATTAAAATTTATTCTCATTTCTTTCATTCTTGAATCCAACCCTCTCCATATATATAGATTTCTTGGCGCAATAAAAAATATTAATTTAAGTAAGGAGATGTGCGTTTGCCACAATATTTTTCAACCTATTCTCAGCCACCAGCTTCATCTTTTTCTGTTTCTCTATCTACAACCAACGGATAAATCTTTAGGAACTACACTAAACTGAATTCTATCTCAAGCACGCGAATGTAGCGCGAGGATCTCGTGTTTGCATGCATTTCTTACAATGGAGTCCTCAACTCCGGTCTCTTCGCCGATTCTTTTTCAATTACCGAAAAATTCGCCCCAATTTCGCCTGATCCTTGCCGGGATCTCGTTATCGAAATCGAGATGTGAATTCTCGCGCAAATTGCAGCTGGCGCGGCCAGGAAGGAGCTGGGGTACCCTGCGTCCCGTCTCAGCCAGGGAAGTTGGGATCAAGTGTTTTGCTGAAGAGGTGGTGGATGGCGGAGGAGAACTCATCTTGGATAAAAATGTTGAAGATGAGGTTAGGGATGACGATTCGGAGGAGGAGTTGAACGGTCAGGATTTCCCCAATGGATCGGCCGTTCCTCAGAGGATTCCGTCCTCCGGGGATTCTCTCTCTCTGGGCATTCGGGAGCCCATCTATGAGGTTAGACTCTTTCTGTCTCAGATAGTTTTGTGTTCTTTAGTTGGCCAGTTGCTTGTTTCTATGACTGGAATTTTTAGGGGAAAACAAAGGTGTAATTACTGTTGTTGCATACTGTTGTTGTCATAACTATGCTGCCGATTGTTAACAGAATACTTAATAGAAATCTGGAAATTATGAATTGCTAGGTGAGCTTCTATCTCGGAATTGGAATCGACTGTGAAATGGAGAAAAAGACTAAATTGGAAGAAATAACCCTGAGTCTTGGTCGAAACTTCGTTCATTTCTACCATGCAAGTTTGGCATGTTTATCTAGTTAGTTTGTCTCAGTATTGACTGGAAAGCTTTTTAATTGCCCGACTTTGTGAGATGGACTCCTCTTCTCATACAATTTCTTTTGGTTTTCTGAAAATAAGGAATCTCAGGGGAAACAATGGAATGTTCCATGCTTGAAAATTATCTCTATAAGAAATGCAGAATAATTGGAAACTAAAGCCACTAGTTTACGCAACTTGAGGATTGGGGATCAAAAAAATTTTTGACCATAGTTCAGTGATGTGTGTCTTGTGTCTGTCTGTTTTCCATCAACAGGTTGTGGAAGTAAGTTCTGATGGAACGGTATCTACAAGGAAAATTAATCGAAGACATTTGTTAAAATCGAGTGGTGAGTAGAAGTTTCTTAGATGGAGACCTTGTTTTCATGCATTTACCAGCATCTGAAAAGTTCAACATGGAATTAACGTAAATTTCTGACTTAAAACTACTTTGTTTTGAATTTCTTATGAACTTAAATAACTTCCTCAACTTCTGCAAAATTCTTAGTAAAATGTACTGGCTAGAATATCTTTTACAACTCTCATTTTTAGCAAATTTATCACTAAACCATGTGAATAAGAAATGTTTACCAACTTCTATCTACTCTGATATTTTTTAAATTTCTGTGGTATAATATTATTAGTTTTATCTTACCTAATTTTACAGGCCTTCGACCTCGAGATATAAGGAGTGTTGATCCGTCATTGTGGCTAACCAACTCAATGCCTTCATTGTTGGTAGAGACAATGAACTGCTTTTCACTACTGCCCATATTTTTATATATACTTTACAATCAGAGTTCATTTCATTCAGTCTTGATTATTATTTTGAGTCATATTTAGATTTTAAATATTAATATGTTAAAATGTTATGCATGATTATCTAAATATGCTACACAAAAACAAATCAGTCATATGATAAGATGTTATGCATGATTGTCTAAATATGCTACACAAAAACAAATCATTCATATAACTTTCAGATTATAAAGTCAATATTCAAATATTAAGAAGATTAATCAAATTTTATGTTCTAAAATTTTATATGTTAAGATGTTATGCATGATTGTCTAAATATTCTACACAAAAGACAAATCATTCATATAACTTCTAAATTATAAAGTCAATATTCATAATTAATCAGAATTTTATGTTTTGCAATTTTCTAGTCAAAGGACTAACATCAGGCAGCCATTGCTGTATATAGCTTTCGTCATTCACATGTTGATCAAATTTATTAGTAACTATAACGACTATGAAAAGCAGACTCATCGTAGCTCATTCTAACTTTCTTTCTGTCACATTACAGTTATAGCTAGAAAATATATAACATGATTTCAAGCAGAATAATGAAATAACATATCCAAAGTTTACCATCCAACCTTTGTTATTTTAACCTGTTTTGACTGTACAATTTTTTCCTTACCATCATTAAGGTACGTGATTATGCTATATTGCTGAATCTGGGATCCTTGCGGGCGATTGCAATGCAAGAACGTGTGTACATATTCAATTATAATCGGTATTAGTCTCATCAGTCATTTGGCTTTTGTTCAATTCTGTATATGTTTTCTGATGTAGTCCCAGGAGTAATAAAAGTTTTGGTTATTGGCAGTAAAGGTGGAAAAGCTTTCATTGATACATTGCTACCACGCTTAAATCCGAAGAACATGAATGGAGGGCCCTCAATGCCATTTGTCCTTGAGGTTGGTTATGTACTAAAACTTCGATCCAAAATCATCGCATTCATTAATTTGGTCTTAGTCCTGACATCAAAGCCCTTCATTTTTTTTATTTATTTTTTCTTCTTGTCCAGCATTTTCATACATAGTTAATAAAATATGTTTTCGCTGTTCCAATACAAAGGTTTCTTCACCATAAGCCAATTTTAGAAGAGAGAACAGTTGACCTGTGCCAATAATATCACTTTCAATATTTTATTGGTCTATAATGGAACATGCTGTTTGTAGATACCCGAGAACATTGCTGTTTGTTGGTACCAAAATTGTATCAGTATTGTTGGCTAAAACTGTTGGCACTAGCACAAAATATTGATCCTACATTTCTTGGTTACTGTAATCTGTGTTACCCACCCATTCTTTAGAGCTAGAGGGGTTTGATCTTTAAAGAGCCTAATAAATATTTGTGAAATCTTTCAGGTGGTTGAGGCTGCACTGCATTCTCGAATTCAACGTCTGGAACGTAGATTAATGGATTTAGAGCCACGCGTGAGTAAGGGAACATTGTGATTATTATTTGTTTTCTTTTTGATGGTTTATGCTCTTTTCTCAAAGTTCAACTTTCTTGAGTGGGTTCACGTATGGATCATTTACTAATTAATGTTAATGGAATGGGTTCAGAGGTGTTGAGCTGCTCTTGTAACTTAATTTTTCAACTTAAAACTTGATAAAAAATGCAACTTATGAAACAAAAAATTTTAAATTTGAATTTAATCGAACAAATGTTGTTCAGACTCATTCCCCAGATAAAGGCACCTTCAGTCCTGAGCTTTCATGCATGACATTTCAAACACCTTTTGCTTCAGTAAATTCACATATTATTCAATTTCTGTTAATTTATTCAGGCCTTAAGCAGTATAGAAGCTCCAGAAATATTAGATCTTTAACTTTGATTTCCTCCCACTACCTTTGAGAAAAAACAAATCAAACTAAATAATCTGTATGTATTGGATTTGTAAAGTATAAATATTTGAAGTGAACAATTGTCCTCAGCTATTATTTAATACTCATTTAGCCACTGTTGCTGCAGGTGCAAGCTTTACTTGAGGTTCTTCCCAACCGATTGACTGCTGCCATATTGGAGGAACTCCGGACTAGCAAACAGACGTTGGTAAGTCGATCTATCTAATTAGGTATTCTATATATCTCAGTATCCACTATACAAAAATGCAATAATGAACCAGTGCATACCAATTACTCATGTTTTCTTTTTATGACTAAAGGTTGAATTGGGCTCTAGAGCTGGGGCTCTTAAACAAATGCTGCTTGATATCCTTGAGGACACTCATGAAATACGACAAATTTGTATAATGGGAAGAAACTGCACTCTTATGAAAAATGACGAGGTTCAATGCTCCGTTCCTTCGGAGAAGGAGATAGCAGAGGGTAAGTTGTAAATAGGCTTAATCGTACTCTGGTAAATCACTTCAAGAAATCAAGCACATAACTTAGTGATCTTAAGGATCTACCTTTTATAATGGCTTTCTACATATCTCAGAAGAGGAGGAAGAAATTGAAATGCTTCTGGAAAATTATCTCCAAAGGTAATGCCAGAACAACTTTCAGTTCGTTTCAGTTGGAAAAACCTGCTCCTGACTCGATTTTCATGACTCATACAGAGGATAAAAGAAAAAAATTCAGAAAACCAAAACAATGATATCATTCTTACAAGCTGGAAAACAAGAATTAAATTCGATTTAGATATCTTTAAGATCATATGTCCCCCGAATACTAATCAAATGAACATAATGCTGAACATACTTTTCCACTCAATTTGACCAAATACCTCTATTTTTATTACTTACAGTCATATGTACGTGTATAACCCAAAAGTTCAAATCATTAAGTTTTCCAGATTTTTAAAAGCAATTGCCCAATTGTCTTATGTTGAGGCCATAATGGTGATACTATCATTCCATTTTTGTTGTTGTTACCGTTGTGCTGTTCTTCATTTTATTAATAAAAATAACATTAATTTATTGACGATCCTATTTCTAATTCTATAGCATGCAAGAAAATATCAGGCATTCTGTCTCAATTGGTCTGGTTTTGTGGTAGTCTAATTGAAGTCAAGCTACTGCAGATGTGAATCCTGTCACGGTCAAGCAGAGAGGCTTCTCGATTCAGCAAAGGAGATGGAAGATTCAATTGCTGTGAACCTCAGGTTACCATTATTTGTTATCACTTATCTTCTATTTATTGTGATTGCATGCCAGAAAATAATGACCAATAAATTATTCCATGAAACTATTTTATTATTATTCTATCATCATGTTATGGGTTAGAATCTTCAGTTTTCTCCAACATTCCATGAACAATGTTTAAGCCGTGGCGAATTTATACAGGAAATCTTTAGAATGAATTTTTAGTTGTGAAATTGTCATCATTTTACCCATTGGATATTGAAACTTCACACAGATGCAGACTGTAGTCATAAGTCATCTCTACTGCGATAAAAAATTTAATCTATACTGCTTTGATTGACATATTAATACTGTTATCATCTATTCTTATTAGCTCTCGGAGACTGGAAGTAAGTAGAGTGGAACTTCTTCTTCAGGTTGCAACATTTTGTGTTGCAGTTGGTGCCTTAATTGCAGGTAGCTAACTGGTGATGATAATGAATGATGTATTCTGATTACATTTCCCTTTCAAAAATCATGAATTTATGACGGATATTATTATACATGGATTTTCCAAAACGATGAATTTATGATATTATTATACATGCTGCGTCAATGTAATAGTTTCTGGCCTGTTGGCACTATGGTGGCATGGGATAGTGGATTTCTGCCTAACAGCCATTAGAAATTTGTGAAGGATGGCGGTTATGGTGGCTCCACTGGCCACCGTGTTGGTCTCTATGGCAGATATCGCCATTCACCATTGATAACACTGCTGCATCTTACTTTACTATAGCATATGAAAGTTTAAGCTCCCATTAATTACATTGAGAACTTGGCAGGTATATTTGGCATGAACTTGAAGTCGTATCTTGAGGAACATATTGTGAGTCACTCTTCGGTCATTATTATTCTGTATCAGTCTCCTTATTTACGTAACTGTTTTTCTAATTATCTTTGCAAATATGGTCTGTAGTTCGCCTTCTGGCTTACGACAGCAGGCATTTTTGTGGGTGCTGTGGTTGGATTCTTTCTCTTGTACTCCTACCTCAGGAAAAGAAAAATTCTGTGAGCTCCCAAGTAAGCGAAGTAACTTGGAGTTCTAACAAATTAAACTCTGCTACTCTTAGTATATGGTACAGCCTGGAAAGTTACTACACACAACTCTAATGTTTCTTTTCAGCCCTGTCAGAATCCCACTGATGCTAGTTATTTATACGGCATGAAATCATACAACCTCAAACAATCATTCGTAAAAATGGAACATTTGAACGGATTCAGCAAATGCACTTGAGTGTAAGAATTGCTTTTATACTACACAGGACAGTAGAAACTAGAAAGGGTGGTACCCACTTCATGTTAATAGATTAAAGTGGAGCAGGCAATTAAGCCATTTTATCTTGCATATTTTCTCTTCATCAAATATGTATCGGTAGGTTTATGTAGTTAAGAGGTTTCCGGTGCTAAGCTGAATATAACTTTGTGAAGCTCTTGCTCGTGCCCATTAAACTGAATAAAGGACAATGTATTTTAATGAGATAGCTTATCAATAAAGACAATAATGGATTTTGTGTTTCCATTTTATACGCCAATTAGCAGTTTTTTTAGGCGATTTTTTTTTTTTTTTCTCTCTTTTATT